CTGTTTGGAAGTGAATCTCTAAGTACCTGAAGCCTAGCACCTGTAGTTGTTTGTGAGGGTGAACTTGTGCATGTAAAGTTTTAACCATAGAAAAAAATGCTCAATAGTGGTTGTGGAGAGCCGGAGAGGCACACCCCCCAGAGCACTGAGTCCAGCGCCGGGAGACCCAAAGCCCCAGGCGCCCAAGGGGACCCCAGAAGCGAAGGCACCAAGGCGGGGCCAGCCCCGGAAATCAGACCCCCACCAAGGGAGGAGGAGAGACAGCCACGAAGAAGCCCCCCAGCCACCGCCATGCCGGCGCCCCGGGGAGCCGCGGGGACGAGTCCGCGGGCCCCGCCGGCAGCCGGCCACCCCGAAGTAGGGCCGGGCACCGAACACCAGCCCCCCCACGGCGCCGACCGAAACGCCCCAGCCCCACAGAGCACCGAAACACGCCCCGCCCCCCCGCACCAAGCCCCGGCGACCGGCCGCAACACCCACCGCGACCGCACCGCCCAGGAAAACACTCAGGCGGCCCCGCCCCCGGCCGGGGCCCATGCGCATCCGCCGCGAACCGGCCACGAGCGCCGCGGGACCCCCCCCAAAACGCCCCCCCAGCCAAAAGCGCAGCCCCACCCCACCAAGACCGATGCCAACAGCGCGCAACGAAACACACCGCGCACAGAATCAGCCCGAGAGCAGAAAAGCCGCCCGGCGCAATACCGCAAGAAGAGCAGACCGCAGCCGGCGCAACCACCCCCTCCAGCAGCCCGAGGGGCAGCACAAAGCCAGAGCGGAGCGAACCGCGCCGCCCCCCCCACCGGACGAAGCCAAAGCAGCCCAGCCACGTCCGCCGCCCCCCCCCCGCAGCCCGCACCAGGCCCTGACACGCGGCCCGAGCAGCTCCGCCGCCCCGGCCCCCCCACCACGCGCCGGCCATAGCCACTCCAGGCCCCCACCCGCCCCATAGCCCCACCCGCCGCGATCAGCGGGAACAGAGCAGCCCCGCCATGCCTCCAGGAGGGAAAACCCACCCGAATACCCAGCCAGCGCAGCCAGCCCGCCCAGACCGGCCCCCCAACACTACCCCCGCCGGAGCCGCCCGGACCCCCACACACCAGCGGCGCGCCGCCAGCAGGCCCCCCACCCAGCAGGCCCGCCCGCCCCCGAGAAAACAGACATGCCAAACCCCCCAAAGAAAAAAAGAAAAAAAAAAAAAAAAAAAAAAAGGAGCCCCCACAATGCGACAGCGGACACCAGACACCGACCCGCCCGCAACCGCTCCCCCCCACCGAGGAAGAGAAAAAAAAAAAAAAAAAAAAAAAAAAAAAAAAAAAACCTAAATAAATATGTAAATAAATTAATTAATAATTACAATTAAAATAAATAGGCAAGAGAAGTGCGAGCGGAAAAACCAGAGCCCAAAACAGGACCCAAGACCCGCACCCCACCATGCCGCGCAGCTCCCCCCCCCCCCGAACCGATACCACAGAACCGGCATAGGAAAGAAACACCGCCCAGGAACCGGCATCGTAGCGAAGGCACCGGCACCGACCCCGAAAATCCCCGAACAACACCCAGCCCCACCCCGAAGCGGATCCAGTCCCAGGCCCCAGGGATCCGAGGCCCCAAGGGCACCCCATCCCCAGACAGGAGCCCCAGCAAAGCCCCGGCCGGCCGGGGCCAGCGGAGAGGCCGCCAGGAATGAGCCAGCAGTCCCCCGGGCATCCACCCCCAGCTCCACCAGTGCACCGGTGAGCCCCGACGCCAGCCAGCGGAGGGAAAGCAGGACGGGGGGAATGGGCTCCGCACTTAGCGGAGACTTGAGATGTATTTGGGAGAGGGTGCGGTTGAGACCCCAACCTGGAAAAAAAAAAAAAAAAACACCATCTCAATCATGCCTTCCCTCCCTAGTGCCCCCACTCGTACCACGGGAAAAAAAAAAAAAAAAAAAAAAAAAAAAAAAAAAAATTGAATAAAATAATAATAATAATAAATAAAGAAAATAACAACGCGGACACACATTCACACATAACACTCACATCCTATAATACCAGGACCAAAAACCCGGTGACACCGGTGGTCGGTCCCGGGACTATCGGATGACCCCATAAGTGAACCTAAAATCCGGATGTGAGGGGAGGGGAGCGGCGACACCGCCACACCAACCCATCTCTTTCCTGCTTCAAGCCCGGCCCCCCACCCCGCACACGGACCGGACCACCCCCAGCAAGAGCCCCCCCCGGGACCGGGGCCCACCCATCCCGCGCCGGCCACCCAACCCTAACCGCCCCCCCCCCCGAAAAGAAAGAGAAAAAAAAAAAAAAAACCTTCAACCAGGCACTTCATGCCCCTCCATCCAACCTTCTTTGGGGAGAGCAGAGGTGACAGCCCCGCCACCGGCAGGCCACCTAGGCCCCGCAGCCAGCCCCAGCCAAAACCACGGACCAGGTGGCCCGCTCTTCCTCCAGGCCCCAGACTCCAGGCGGCAGCCGGAGAACAGGGGTGTGAGAAGACCCCGATCCTCACTGCGCCCGCTCGAATGTGGTGTTGTTGCGTGTTGCTCTCAGATGCAATTAAAACTGGGAGTACCAAGAGGGGGTGTCCGGCACACTCCACCCCCCCTCCAGGAGATAGACGGTGCCAGCACACCCCCCCCCTTCGACAACCCTCAACCCTCAATGTCTAGATGCGAGAGGGGATGGAGGAGGCCGACCGTGGTGAGGCCCATAAAATAAGCACCCCCCCCCCGGTGGCCCTGACCCCCACCCCCCGAAAATGCCCTACATAGATGTGTGTTGTGAAAATGATGTAGATGGAAGTGTCTAAAATGCAAAATAAAATTGGGGTGGGGGACGTCATCAGAAGGTGTGGCCCTCCAGTAACGACCCCCTCCCCAAAAACCTACATGTGTGGCCGAGTGATGGAGCAGGCAGAGGGAGGATTTCGGGGATGGGGAGCAAAGGACTGGGGTGCTTGCTGCACTCCCAGGGAGCCAGCTCCCCCGCTGACTCCAATAGGCACCCCCGTTCCCCGAGAGCCCCCCCAGAGAAGGGGGCCCCACCAGTTTCACCACCATAGCCCGGGGGCACGGGACCGGCAGCAGGACCCACCAGCCAGCCGGGCACGGAGCCGACACCACCACCCTCCCCCCGTCCTGTCCATCCAGAAAAATAATAATAATAAAAAAAATAAATAAGTAGATAAATAAATAAAATTAAAAAAACTAAATAAATAAATTAAAAAAAAAAAAAAAAAAAATAATAATAAAAAAAAAAAAAAAAAAAAATATAAAAGGAAGAAAAAAAAAAAAATAATAATAAATAAATAAATGAATAAGGGGAGGGACAACCCCAGCCGGCCAGCCAACGCGCAACACGCAGAGCCCCCACCCCGGACGAAGCCCCACCAGGGGGCAGCACGGACCAGGACCAAGACAGGAAGCCAGACCGAAAGCCCTTCAAAGATCTTCTTCCCTCTATCACCACCCCCCACCCCCCCTCCGGAGATGTAATCCCTCCCCTACAATAACAATCAAGCTACTCACCACACAAGCGACAGAAGACATCCAGGCCGAGATCATACCTACTCCCCCTCCCTCCCCTTCCCCCACTTACAGAGTGCAAACCCGTGAGGGGGTAAGCACTTGCCATAGGTGTTAATGTCCATGCCCCCCCCAGCCCAGCAGGCCCCGAGGCACCCCGGCACACCAGAGGCCGTGGCAGCAGGGACAGATAGCCGGGCGTACACCGGCCCAGAACCCAAGCAGCACTCCCCACAGAACCCGAACCCCCGAACCCCCACCGGGGACCCCGCCCAAGGGCAATGCGCCCCAGGGATCCCGGACCCAAGGAGCCACCCCAGACCCACCCCGCAGTAGGGCCGGGCAATGCCCAAAAACCCCCGGCACCGGCGCCAGCACCCCCACCCCGACCCCGGCCCCCGAACGACTCCCCCCCGACACCGGTCCCACAGCACCAATCCGAAGAAGAAGAAAAGTTGCTGTTTTCATAGCTCATACAATATTACTGTGTCCAAAGGTCTGCCCTAACCCCTAAATTCCCCAATCGGTATATAGAGCGGGAACTATATGGTAGACACTTTTTCTCTTACGACCCTTGGCCATTATTAAAGAACCGTGGTTAAAAAGGTGAGCTTAAATTACTAATTGAAACTGTATTTCACCACACATTCTGCGTTGTTAACTGGAAATGAGCATGTATGACAGCCTTATGTAAACATATATTCACTTATTTAGATGATCCACCCAGAAATAAAAGATCTTCCTCTATACCTTTAACATGCTCTGATTCATTTCGTTAATAATTATGGGATGGTCATTGTAAGGTCCTAAAAAGTCCTGACCAGGTCCTGGCTATTTATTGTAGCAGATATCTTCCATTAAAAAAAATGAATTATTATCTAAATACACTTAGCTTGTCTTACCTGTATGGTCACATTTCTATTGTTTCCATTAATAATTTTTTCACTTCAGTTTTTCAAAATATTGCCTAATATTGTCTCTCCTACTGTAGGATGTATAACATTCATTTCTAGGTGTTTTCCTATTATGTTTTGTTAATGTAAACATTTCGAATTGTCTGCTGTGCTTAATAAATAAAGGTTTTAGAAACACCGCCCCCCCAGCACACACACAAACATAAACACACAGAGACTCTCCCTGCCTCTCCCTGACTCTCCCTCAACCTAGTTTAAATTCCTGAGAACACAGAAAGTTGCTCATTAACTGCAGCCGTTTAACGTTTTCCTGTCAGGCTGCAGCCGAGCAGAAATGTGTCCCAGGCTGGCAGAGAACAATCCCTGTAGTTAAGACAGTCGGTCTCAAGAAGAACAAAAATACTCCTGGATGGATTTAAACCCATTGACCTGAGGAGCTGAGGAAACTGTGATGTCACAGTGATGTCACTTTGATGCAGATGAGGCAATCAGACTGAAAAGCATTGAAAGTGTGAATGTAGAAGATCGCGGTCTCTATAGAACAATGAAACAAGCCCTCTCACCATCCAAAGCCTCCAAAGGAAACGCTCCTCTTCCTCCGCAGCATGGTTCCCTCTCCTCCTCCTGCTCCCGTTCCTTTGTCTCCCTGTTTGGCTTATTGTGTCAGGATCCTCCTCCCTCTCAGTCTCTGCTGCTCTCCTCGCTGCTGTTCTACCTCCTCATCTCTCCTCCTATAAATACTCTCATCCTGGCCAGACGATCCTATGATTCCTTCCTCTGAATCTCCTCCTGCCGTTAATGTTTTCCTCTCTTCCTCCTCTCCATCTCACACTCCAGTTGACAGCACACACAGAAACAGAGCTGGAGGGGGGAAGTGCATCAGCCCTGATGGAGAGCAAGGCTGAAACTTATCCATAATGGATGGAGATGAAAGGAAAAAACACATCAGACTACTAGATGATTTGTTACATAACTCTGAGTGCAGCCTCAACTCTTAAGACAACGTCACAAATCAGAACATGTGAGGTTCTGCTTGCTGAACAGATACTTTCTGATGCGTTTATCAGCCCCCCTATGTGTGGGGCTAGGAGGGTTAGCAATGTTCTGATCAGCAGGGAGCCTCCAGAGACTTTAGGGTATGCAAAGAACACAAAAGGAAAGATTAGGAAAATCAGTGGCTCAGTGAGGGCGATAACCCGCTTCAGGCAACTTTTAGAACGAGTTTCTTGCTTCTTGTCTTTCTGAGCTCATCACAGAACCGAAACAAGCAATATGTCCATGTTTGGAGTAGAAAACATCTGAGCCACTCACAGCAGGCTGAACAATTAACTTCTACTGTTGTGATGCAGAGAAGACCCCTGGTGCTTCCAGAAACAGATAGCAATTAGTAAAAGCAAAAATAACTCATAACATCACTTGTGTGCAATCAGTTACGATGAACAGTGGAGTTTCTTTTTGACTGCAGGTGGCGTCTTTACATCTCTGCAGTTAAGTGAACATATTTTCTATTTTCCTTGTAAATAGTTGTTTTTTTTTTCTTCCGTTGTAAACCTTCACCTAGCAGCTGAAAACACCAGAAGTCCTCCACTTTGGGATCACAAAGGATCAAAATTATTAATTTTTTCTTTATTTATAGGCATATATATATTTTCCATTGTTTAGGATTATTAAACCATAACTAGATGTGTGTTATTAAAACAGTTTCCATTGTAGAATCTATTTTCCAGTCCTGGAGGTGCTGGAATTCTTTGGGTAAGCAGCTGCTAAAGAAGGCATCATTTCCCAGGCCTAAAAGTGATACTACAAGTTCAACTCCTTGCTTCCCCTAAGAGGTGCTGCCATTCTGTACTATTTGACAGTTAAAGGTTTTCTAATGTTACGGCATTAGTATTTAAGGTCCAGAAAAAAAAACAATAACCGTCTGACACTAAATTAATTAATAAAAAAATTATTGACATTCCCTTTTCTTCAGTATAATGGTATGTCTATTCTGCATCACTCTAAATTTTTAGTAGATGTCTTATTTTTGAAAATAAAAAAAAAGTTTTGACAGAAAACTTGTTGCTGTGACCTTGTAATACAGTTTGGTTCAGATGGTTTCTGGTTCTGGATGAAAACTGTGGACTTGGCGAAGAAAGGATTTAAAGTTCTACCATATGTGTCAAACTCCAGTCCATGAGGGCTCAGCAGAACTTGACATTTGATTCAGTAGTTCTGATCAGGGGAACATATGATGGTTAAAGGAAACCGAGCCTTGAGGAGTGGAATTTGACATCCCAGACCGATGCTTAAACACAGATTTTTGTAAACCTAATAATCATGAGGATACTTTGGACCATCTTGATTATTAAGGTCAGATTTATCCAAACTGGATCCACTGCACCTATGGGCGCTGAAGCGTATTTCCTTTATGATGATGTGTTAACTGGTATCGACCAAGTATGCATAGACTCTCCATAATCAAACATACGTAAAAGTCACTTGGAGGTAGAGACATCGTCCCAAGTTTTATTCCAAAGTATTCAAAGGAAACATCAGCTGGATCAGTAACTGGGACTTCTTGCACTGATTTCCCAGAAAGTCCTGTTTAACTTGAAAGGTAAGTTAGTTTATTTAATCAATACTATTCAAAGATATGTTATACATCCCAAAGGCTTAATGAATGTTAAAAGTATCTCATTGCATTTTTGAGAGCATGACTTGTTGTGGATGTGGAAAGCCGTAGGCAGGAAGCATGTTCTGTAGTAGTCTGTCTTCTAGCAGGTCTGGATAAGCCTCTGACTGAAGACACTTTGTTGTTTAACAGTCTGGTGACATACTCTCCTGACTCTCCACAACAGAGTGATGGAAGATCTACAGCATCTTTCTGCGAACATTGAACGACCTAAGCTTCCTCCAATCAGTTCTGTTCCTTCTTGTATACGGCTTCAAAGATGTTTCTCCGGTCTAGTTTGTTGTCCAGGTGAATGCCAAGCTATTTCTACTCCTCCACCACATCCACTTTTTCTCTAAAGATGTTTAACAGGATTCAACTTGTTCCTCTTTCTTCTGAAATATACAGTCATAGTCCTTGTTTTGTTGACATTCAAGATCAGATGATTGTTTCCACACCGTACCATAGAGTGTGTCATGATCTCAGCACTGATGCCTTGTCTTATTACTAATTTCACACACCTACTTAGCTCTGCCCAGTTGTCATTGCCGCTCATCTTATCCACCTGTATTAGTCTCATTATTGACTGCATTATTTAACCAGCCTTCAGACCAGTTGTCAGGGCCAGATTATTCGAGCCGTGGTTAAGAATTATTCTAGCCTACTTGTGTTCTGACTACCTGATCTTGACCTGTTCTGCCTCTCGACCTCTGAGCCTGCCTGTTCCCATCTGATCTGTTCGCCTGACCTGTTTTCTGACTCCTGCCTGATCTCTGCCTGCTTGTGTACCGACTGGAACCATTTCCCAAGCACTGAGTCTGCCTGCCCTCATCTAGCCTGTTAGCCCCACTGTGTACGGTATCTGGAACTATGACCTGACTCTGTCTTGGATTCTCCTTCAGCAGATCACTGGATCTCTGACTTCCCGGCTCTGACAACTGACGTTACTGTCAGACTGAATCATGTTAAATGTTCTGGAGAAACCAAAGAAAAGGATCCTCACAGTGCCATCTGCCTTGTCTGAATGACAGTGGGTTTGTTGAAGCAGGTGTATGATGGCATCATCAAATCCAACTCCACGGGGATAAGCAAACTGCAGGGGTTCCTGATAGCCGGTTGTTTGCTTGCTGAGGTGAACCAACAGAAGTCTATCTGGGACCTTATTAATGTGGGATGTCAGGGCAACAGGTGAGTCACTAATGACTGTTGGCTGAGTCTTCTTTGTCACTGGAACAAGGAGGTCTTCCACATCACTGGGACTGTCTCCTGAGTCAGACAAAGGTTGAAGAGGTTGTTGTGATTTTATGTTCATTTCTATTCCCAGCCAGCTGGGAATTCATATTTCTGATACTTTAAGATGTATATTGCCCTCCCCGGTAGGATGGTAAAATATCTTATTTAATCAGATATTATTTCAGCTGTTATATATTGTTTATGACACACAGTCCTACTAACTGTGTTAGAACATGTCAAACGTTAATGCTACGTTTGTGCTGGTTTGTGCAGCAAAAACAAATGTTAACTGACCTTTGATGACCTCTACAAAATATTATTGATATCATTAAAATCATAGTAGTACAAATGAAAATCTTTGCCGTACATAAATATAACATTTTAAAATCATTTTTAAATATAAAATATTTAAAATAAATGTATTAAAAATTTTAAAAGCATATTTTAAATTATATATATATGTTTTGTACTGCTATCATTTTAATGATATTAATAATTGTAGAATCATAATCATCAAAGGTCGGTGAACATTTGTTAATTCTGACTCTGAATTTCATAAAAATATAACTAAAAATATAAGTTGCTAACCTATGATTATATAGTTTTAAACTTTTAAAAAAATTATAACGGCACAAATGAAAATTTTTGCTGCACAAACCAGCAAAAACGGAGCACAAACGTTTGATACTAATTTTGTCTGATTTGAAGAAGGTGGGGGGGCCAAGTTCACTCAGGTGCTCGGCAGTCAGGGTAGAGACCAGGTGTTCTTTGTCTCAGTCGTTCATCAGGCAGTCCTTCTCTCCAGTCTGGCTCTATTACTTCTGAAATTCAAGAGAAATGTGTTGCAAAAGGTCTGTTTGCAGCAGTTTGGTTCTGAAAGGTTCTGACTTATCCTTGATGGTTCTGGAGATCTGGTTCCCCTAGGGCCTCCATCTCCACTGTGGTGGAGAACCAGCCAAAGCGGACCCCAGCTTCCTGGGCAAGGGAGAGGAGGCAAGGATCGCAGAAGGTTAAGAGAGGAGGAAGCAAAAGAGAAAGAATTCTGTGTGCTCTGTGGTTTTGTCTGTCCTCACACAGAGGGGGATGGTTGTTGGTCACACCTCTGTGACTTGCCTGTGGAGGCCTTGGCTGAAACGGGGGTTGTTGCAGAGATTCCACATCATCATGTCAAGATAAAATATGGACACTGGTTCCCGCTGTCCAAAAAGGATGATCATAGCATATGGCACAACAAGGTGCTGTAGAATCCCACAGAGCTGCTCTGCACAGGCCTTCAGAACTCCGGGGCTGACACCATCTTTCCTTCTTACAATTAAGTCTCTCCAGTTGCCTCTTTATTTTACTTCTAAAGATACAACAGACAAATGAAAGATGAAGGGAGCAGCACAATGTTCTAATTTGGCTGAGAAAAACTAAAAGAAGCAGGAGACTCAATAGCAGAGGTAGAAAAAGAAGAAATTGGGGTTTGAGAGGGAAGCTTTCGGTCAAAGAATGTAGGATGTCCATGTGACTGTGGGCAGGAGAGAAGGATGCTGATCTTCTTCTTGAACTGAACCTGTTGAAAAATGTATTCAGTTCATTGGCTATGTCAGGACTTCCATCTTACCCTTCTTCTAATTGAAGCCTTTGATCTTCTTCATCTTGGACCACACATTTGTTTTTATTTTTTGTAATTATAACATCTCTGATATTGTTCTGCTGGAGCTTGCTCTCCAACCCCTTCCCGTATGCTTCTCTGCTTTCTCATATATTGACCTTAAGTTTATTCTCTATACTTCTCAATAATAATTGTCAGTCATTGATTTTATGTCCTTTACATGTGTCCATCCCAGTCTGTGCCCTCTAAACAGGGCTTCTTTAGCTGCCTGTGACCATCTTCTTACACTTCTTTTTAACATAGGTTCTCTTATAAAAAGAAACTCTGATTCACAAACTGAGGAACTAAAGTCATCCTTAAAAAGAGCATCAGAAGTCAGCTAGTAGCTAGTAGAGTTACCCTGCTGTGCAGCCACTTAAAGCCCT